TGCCTACAGTCATCTCCACCACAGAACTATCAGTAGCATGCCTACAGTCATCTCCACCACAGAACTATCGGTAGCATGCCTACAGTCATCTCCACCATAGAACTATCAGTAGCATGCCTACAGTCATCTCCACCATAGAACTATCAGTAGCATGCCTACAGTCATCTCCACCATAGAACTATCAGTAGCATGCCTACAGTCATCTCCACCACAGAACTATCAGTAGCATGCCTACAGTCATCTCCACCACAGAACTATCAGTAGCATGCCTACAGTCATCTCCACCATAGAACTATCAGTAGCATGCCTACAGTCATCTCCACCATAGAACTATCAGTAGCATGCCTACAGTCATCTCCACCACAGAACTATCAGTAGCATGCCTACAGTCATCTCCACCATAGAACTATCAGTAGCATGCCTACAGTCATCTCCACCATAGAACTATCAGTAGCATGCCTACAGTCATCTCCACCACAGAACTATCAGTAGCATGCCTACAGTCATCTCCACCATAGAACTATCAGTAGCATGCCTACAGTCATCTCCACCACAGAACTATCAGTAGCATGCCTACAGTCATCTCCACCACAGAACTATCAGTAGCATGCCTACAGTCATCTCCACCATAGAACTATCAGTAGCATGTTTACAGTCATCTCCACCACAGAACTATCAGTAGCATGCCATCTCCACACAGAACTATCAGTCATCTACAGTCATCTCCACCATAGAACTATCAGTAGCATGCCTACAGTCATCTCCACCACAGAACTATCAGTAGCATGCCTACAGTCATCTCCACCACAGAACTATCAGTAGCATGCCTACAGTCATCTCCACCATAGAACTATCAGTAGCATGCCTACAGTCATCTCCCACCACAGAACTATCAGTAGCATGCCTACAGTCATCTCCACCACAGAACTATCAGTAGCATGCCTACAGTCATCTCCACCACAGAACTATCAGTAGCATGCCTACAGTCATCTCCACCATAGAACTATCAGTAGCATGCCTACAGTCATCTCCACCATAGAACTATCAGTAGCATGCCTACAGTCATCTCCACCACAGAACTATCAGTAGCATGCCTACAGTCATCTCCACCACAGAACTATCAGTAGCATGCCTACAGTCATCTCCACCTATCAGTAGCATGCTATCATCACCATAGTAGCATGCCTACAGTCATCTCCACCACAGAACTATCAGTAGCATGCCTACAGTCATCTCCACCATAGAACTATCAGTAGCATGTTTACAGTCATCTCCACCATAGAACTATCAGTAGCATGCCTGGGGCGGTGGGGTAGCCTAGTGGTTAAAGCGTTGGCTCACTGGGCTAATCCCACATGGGCACAATGTGTGAAGCCCATTTCTGGTGTCCCCTGCCGTGATGTTGCTGGAATATTGCTAAAAGCCGCGTAAAACCAAAACTCAGTCAGTCAGAAAACTCAGTAGCATGCCTACAGTCATCTCCACGACAGAACTATCAGTAGCATGTTTACAGTCATCTCCACCACAGAACTATCAGTAGCATGCCTACAGTCATCTCCACCATAGAACTATCAGTAGCATGCCTACAGTCATCTCCACCATAGAACTATCAGTAGCATGTTTACAGTCATCTCCACCATAGAACTATCAGTAGCATGCCTACAGTCATCTCCACCACAGAACTATCAGTAGCATGCCTACAGTCATCTCCACCATAGAACTATCAGCAGCATGTTTACAGTCATCTCCACCACAGAACTATCAGTAGCATGCCTACAGTCATCTCCACCATAGAACTATCAGTAGCATGCCTACAGTCATCTCCACCACAGAACTATCAGTAGCATGCCTACAGTCATCTCCACCACAGAACTATCAGTAGCATGCCTACAGTCATCTCCACCATAGAACTATTGGTAGCATGCCTACAGACATCTCCACCATAGAACTATCATGCCTACAGTCATCTCCACCACAGAACTATCAGTAGCATGCCTACAGTCATCTCCACCATAGAACTATCAGTAGCATGCCTACAGTCATCTCCACCATAGAACTATCAGTAGCATGCCTACAGTCATCTCCACCATAGAACTATCAGTAGCATGCCTACAGTCATCTCCCACCACAGAACTATCAGTAGCATGCCTACAGTCATCTCCACCACAGAACTATCAGTAGCATGCCTACAGTCATCTCCACCATAGAACTATCAGTGGTAGCATGCCTACAGTCATCTCCACCATAGAACTATCGGTAGCATGCCTACAGTCATCTCCACCACAGAACTATCAGTAGCATGCCTACAGTCATCTCCACCATAGAACTATCAGTAGCATGCCTACAGTCATCTCCACCACAGAACTATCAGTAGCATGCCTACAGTCATCTCCACCACAGAACTATCAGTAGCATGCCTACAGTCATCTCCACCACAGAACTATCAGTAGCATGCCTACAGTCATCTCCACCATAGAACTATCAGTAGCATGCCTACAGTCATCTCCACCATAGAACTATCAGTAGCATGCCTACAGTCATCTCCACCACAGAACTATCAGTAGCATGCCTACAGTCATCTCCACCACAGAACTATCAGTAGCATGCCTACAGTCATCTCCACCATAGAACTATCAGTAGCATGCCTACAGTCATCTCCACCATAGAACTATCAGTAGCATGCCTACAGTCATCTCCACCACAGAACTATCAGTAGCATGCCTACAGTCATCTCCACCATAGAACTATCAGTAGCATGTTTACAGTCATCTCCACCATAGAACTATCAGTAGCATGCCTACAGTCATCTCCACCACAGAACTATCAGTAGTATGCCTACAGTCATCTCCACCATAGAACTATCAGTAGCATGTTTACAGTCATCTCCACCACAGAACTATCAGTAGCATGCCTACAGTCATCTCCACCATAGAACTATCAGTAGCATGCCTACAGTCATCTCCACCACAGAACTATCAGTAGCATGCCTACAGTCATCTCCACACCACAGAACTATCAGTAGCATGCCTACAGTCATCTCCACCATAGAACTATCGGTAGCATGCCTACAGTCATCTCCACCATAGAACTATCAGTAGCATGCCTACAGTCATCTCCACCACAGAACTATCGGTAGCATGCCTACAGTCATCTCCACCACAGAACTATCAGTAGCATGCCTACAGTCATCTCCACCATAGAACTATCAGTAGCATGCCTACAGTCATCTCCACCACAGAACTATCAGTAGCATGCCTACAGTCATCTCCACCACAGAACTATCAGTAGCATGCCTACAGTCATCTCCACCATAGAACTATCAGTAGCATGCCTACAGTCATCTCCACCATAGAACTATCAGTAGCATGCCTACAGTCATCTCCACCACAGAACTATCGGTAGCATGCCTACAGTCATCTCCACCACAGAACTATCAGTAGCATGCCTACAGTCATCTCCCACCACAGAACTATCAGTAGCATGCCTACAGTCATCTCCACCACAGAACTATCAGTAGCATGCCTACAGTCATCTCCACCACAGAACTATCAGTAGCATGCCTACAGTCATCTCCACCACAGAACTATCAGTAGCATGCCTACAGTCATCTCCACCATAGAACTATCAGTAGCATGCCTACAGTCATCTCCACCACAGAACTATCAGTAGCATGCCTACAGTCATCTCCACCACAGAACTATCAGTAGCATGCCTACAGTCATCTCCACCACAGAACTATCAGTAGCATGCCTACAGTCATCTCCACCATAGAACTATCAGTAGCATGCCTACAGTCATCTCCACCATAGAACTATCAGTAGCATGCCTACAGTCATCTCCACCATAGAACTATCAGTAGCATGCCTACAGTCATCTCCCCACAGAACTATCAGTAGCATGCCTACAGTCATCTCCACCACAGAACTATCAGTAGCATGCCTACAGTCATCTCCACCATAGAACTATCAGTAGCATGCCTACAGTCATCTCCCCATAGAACTATCAGTAGCATGCCTACAGTCATCTCCACCACAGAACTATCAGTAGCATGCCTACAGTCATCTCCACCATAGAACTATCAGTAGCATGCCTACAGTCATCTCCACCATAGAACTATCAGTAGCATGCCTACAGTCATCTCCACCACAGAACTATCAGTAGCATGCCTACAGTCATCTCCACCATAGAACTATCAGTAGCATGCCTACAGTCATCTCCACCATAGAACTATCAGTAGCATGCCTACAGTCATCTCCACCACAGAACTATCAGTAGCATGCCTACAGTCATCTCCACCACAGAACTATCATAGCATGCCTACAGTCATCTCCACCATAGAACTATCAGTAGCATGCCTACAGTCATCTCCACCACAGAACTATCAGTAGCATGCCTACAGTCATCTCCACCATAGAACTATCAGTAGCATGCCTACAGTCATCTCCACCATAGAACTATCAGTAGCATGCCTACAGTCATCTCCACCATAGAACTATCAGTAGCATGCCTACAGTCATCTCCACCATAGAACTATCAGTAGCATGCCTACAGTCATCTCCACCATAGAACTATCAGTAGCATGCCTACAGTCATCTCCACCATAGAACTATCAGTAGCATGCCTACAGTCATCTCCACCACAGAACTATCAGTAGCATGCCTACAGTCATCTCCCCCACAGAACTATCAGTAGCATGCCTACAGTCATCTCCACCACAGAACTATCAGTAGCATGCCTACAGTCATCTCCACCACAGAACTATCAGTAGCATGCCTACAGTCATCTCCACCACAGAACTATCAGTAGCATGCCTACAGTCATCTCCACCAGAGAACTATCAGTAGCATGTTTACAGCAATCACAGAAGGGTTAGAAGCTTGACTTTGTTCTCAAAAAGTAGGTACTAGAAAAAGTAAGATATATTAATCTAGGGTGTAAGCTCGATTATTGTCTGATTGTGGCATTTGCCAACTGGACGATATATGCTTTGTGTGTTCCAGAGAGACCACGTGTAACTTGGCCAAGAGGTTTGTGTGCCACGTGTTCCACTCGCCGTCAGCAGAGGAGGTGAGTGGCAGGAAGTTAACACATGAATTTCAGATAATAGTGTTTACAGGAGTATGAAAACTTTGAACCTTACAGGTTAGTTCCTGTAAATGCCTGAGCTTTCTTATAAATCCATATTTCGAAGTTTAAATTTGTTTTTACGTTCCTGGGGACATTGGAATGCAGTAATCCAGTGGTAGGTGTATTCTTCACATTTACACTAAACAAAGTCATTCTAATTCCATAAATGAATAAACAGCTTGTTATTTATCAACAAGAATTTGTTAAGTTTAACATCAGAAATGACATGTGGGAGTATTGTTAGCTTCAGTAGCCAGTAACAGGAAACTTCTGCATGAATACTTGCGTGTGAACAATATTCAAAATGGAAACTACAGGCCAGATTAATTTGGGCTTGGATTTTTCAAGTTGAATTTGAAATTACAATTCTTGAATATACTCAGTGACATTGTGCCACTTAGGCCTGAAGTGTTTGACGTGAACAGAGACTGGCACAGTACATTGTCAGGATGGCCATGTTTCCCACCTCAACAGCTTCTTCAGCTTGGAGAATTTGAATAGTCATATCAATAGTCATATGTTTTTCATTTATTTTATGTTGTGTTTAGACGTAGATAAAGAAATGTTAATGTAGTATCACACAGTGAAGAACCTCATGGTTGTTGTAAGCAGACGACACAAAAGAGAATATTGTTCCACTTGGAGAATCCCAATGAAATGTAGTTCTGCTAAAAATGATGTAAACATTAAAAGGAGGTTTATACTTTGTAAACGTCGCTCTTTGAAGTTTGTTAAAAATGATTGCATCTAGTAATCAACTGACAAACCCATCGAATCACAGGAAATCCCTTAATCTTCAAAATAACCATTTATAAATGTATGAGTGACTTGCCATGATGTTTATTCATTCCTGTGCAAACTCTAATATCTTGCAGCTCCTAATGTTAAATTTATGTCCAAATGGAAATACCTTTCAAACACTAACCTTAAAGCTGCTATGTTGAATTTATGTCCAAATGGTTTACCTTTCAAACACTTGTACCTTGATGGTAGTGATGTTAAATTTATGTTCAAGTAGTAAAATTTTTCAAACACTTGCATCTTGTAGCTGCTAATATTTAAGTAATGTGCCTGGGTGTCGTAGTGTATAATTCATGTTGCAAGAAGTCTTCATTTTAGTGATTTTGCCGCAACAGAAGTTAGTTTCCTCTCTTTGAATTCTGTAAGATGAAATGTTTCAATGCAAGATAGGCTTACTATCTGAGATCATTTTGTATAACTAGTGAAATAGGTCACTCAGTAACTTGGCAGTTATGTCAGCTTCCTCCTGTCCTCAACACTACATGTATGTTTTCTTCCAGACCAAAGTCATTCTATGCAGTATAGGTGAGATATGTCAATATTTTCATCATCTAAATTTAAGGTCATTTTGGGGAATATTGTGAATGAGCTACATGTGTGAGGACACCCTTGTCAGTGCATCAATCTCTATGTAAATATACTACTGGTACCTGTGCTTCATATAAAGTGCTGTGAAATGTTAGTGAAAATATCATGATATTATTTGGTCCTTTTCTGATCTTTTTCATCATAACAACTTGACTGACAAACCCCATACTTGGTAACAGGATGGTGTAACAAGTCAATAAATGGCATCAGTATCAAGCGTGACCACCATTTGGATTCACTGCAAACCCCAAGGTGGGCTGAATGGGGCTAGAGTTCTGCCATGTTCTGTTGTAGGCATGGTTCTGTCTCACCCTAGTTATGTTGCATGGGGGAAGAGTCTTTAGAAACGCCATGCCAGTACAGCAGTATCATGCTGCGTCACTGTTCCACCACTGACCAGAACATGACTCCTGACAGTGTAGCCAGGGTTGCACATACTATTCAAATTGCCATTAACAATGATGAGTGGAGTCATCCTTGAGTTTTGATGCCACCCAATACAATTACACTTACTCCAGCTCAAGTTAAACACAAGTGTCACTCAAACATTCTCCTGGACTCCAGCATAGGGATAAGGCCTGTCAGACGTCATGTGTGAACAGCACGCTGTCAGAGTTCCGGGCTTCTGAACCTCGGAAGCTGTCCACACCAAGGCAAAACTGGGCACATTGCTGGCCATCAGGGGTAGCTGTTGCGCTCCCACAACTGGCTGTATGGTATTTGGACTTTGATTTTCAGCAAGCCTATCACCACAAGCATTATTTACTATCAACCAAAGGTGTTTTTATGAAAACCTGTCATTATGTGCCATTAACATTAAGAAGATGTGTATTATTATCATGTCCCAACAAACTCAGAAACAACCAAATAGTGCTCACCTCATGTGCAGACAAATTGTGAATAACGTCCCAAGGCCTCAGACATGTCGTCATGAATATGTAATGAAAGGTTTATTATTTAGTACTGGGGCTGGCTATTGTTATTGATCACAGAGTTCGATAGTCGTTTCCTAAATATTGATCGATAATCAATTGATATTGAAGATGTAACTTTGAGAAAAAATGTCAAAAATGTCTGAAAGGAATGAATGAAGCACAGTTCCTTCCTTCTGATAGTGTCCATCATTACTATAGTATCTCACTGTACTCTCATGTTCTAGAGGGACGGTGGGGTAACCTAGTGGTTAAACCGTTAGCTTGTCACGCCGGAGACCGGGTTCGAATCCCCACATGGGTACATTGTGTGAAGCTCATTTCTGGTGTCCCCCGCCGTGATATTGCTGGAATATTGCTAAAAGCGGCGCGAAACCAAACTCACTCACTCATGTTCTAAAGCTTAAAGAGCGTGAGGATTCTGAGTAAGCTTTATAGCAACCTATGTTTGTCATGAAAGGGGATTTAATGGATCAGGGGTTCTCTCTGACTTGGTTGATTGCATGTGTAAGGAACTCCGATTTGTGTTGGGAACTCCCAACCAGCCAGTGTATTCTGTACTGTTGCTACATCGTGGACACATACTTGTGTTTCAGCTCAAGGCTTTGAAAGAACTCACTGGTTCTTGTGATGGAAGGAAGTCATCACAGAATATAAAACTGAGTAATCAAATGTGAGGAACAAGATGCGACATATTGCCACTGTCCACAGTCTGCCACAGATTGCCACTGTCCACAGTCTGCCACAGATTGTCTCTGTCCACAGTCTGCCACAGATTGCCACTGTCCACAGTCTGCCACAGATTGTCTCTGTCCACAGTCTGCCACAGATTGCCACTGTCCACAGTCTGCCACAGATTGTCTCTGTCCACAGTCTGCCACAGATTGTCTCTGTCCACAGTCTGCCACAGATTGCCACTGTCCACAGTCTGCCACAGATTGCCACTGTCCACAGTCTGCCACAGGTTGTCTCTGTCCACAGTCTGCCACAGATTGTCTCTGTCCACAGTCAACCCACAGATAGTCATTGTCCACTGTCTGCCACAGATTGCCACTGTCAACTGTCTGCCACAAATTGTCTCTGTCTACTGTCTGCCACAGATTGCCACTGTCCACTGTCTGCCACAGATTGCCACTGTCAACTGTCTGCCACAAATTGTCTCTGTCTACTGTCTGCCACAAATTGTCACTGTCCACAGTCAACCCACAGAGTCAACCCACAGATAGTCATTGTCCACTGTCAGCACTGCCTACATGTTTCTGATGTATGACCACTTGGATGTATGACCACTTGGATGTATGACCACTTGTGATGGGAATTGGTTGGAATCTCACAATTGATGATTGGTTCAATACCAATGACGAATCGTCGAAAAAATAGGTTAGCTTAATTTTTTAGATTTTCCTATTCAGGTTGTTGCAGATAAGTATACAGAAAAAACACTTGGTTCTGTTTTTTTGTTTTATTTAGAAACTGCACAAATTACATTTGCAAATTTCACATCCACTGTAAAATGATTCAGTAACATAAACTTCCCAGATTCTTCAAGAAATATTCAGTCATGACTTTTCAGAAAGTGAAGTGAGTTTTCGAAGAATTCCGGCCCTGACAATGTCCTTGATATATTCCGTCATCAAGTATTTCAAACTCTATAACAGTGGTTCCAAAATGTTTGTGTTCGATTATGAGAAAATGTGATCGATTGCTTGGTTGTTTGGCCACTGCGACCAATCTTCGATTATTTCAATTAATCGGAACACCACTAATGACCACTTGGATGTATGACCACATGGATGTATGACCAGATTGAATTTTTTTGGGGTCAATGTGATATCATACTTTGTGTCAGAGCGATATTACACTTTTTGTCAGAGTGATATCATAATTTGTGTTGGAGTGATATGGTACTTTGTGTCAGTGTGATATTATACTTTGTGTCAGTGTGATATCATACTTTGTGTCAGTGTGATATCATACTTTGTGTCAGTGTGATATCATACTTTGTATCAATGTGATATTATACTTTGTGTCAGTGTGATATTATACTTTGTGTCAGTGTGATATTATACAATTATAGACTCTTGTAGAGGTCGATATCGTTTTTTATTGACCTGAGTAAAACAATATGGACCGAGCTTGCGAGGTCGATATTGTTTTTCTCAGGTCAATAAAAACCGATATCGACCTCTACAAGAGTCTATAATTGTTTTATTATATAATGAAAGAGAAACGGGTTTTAACATAAACTTGTAATGCACACACTGTGCCATCTATCCGAGTGATCTGATTGGCTGAAAAGAAGGGGAAGCCCCTTCGTACGGGATTCCTTGTCTATTTTTAGTAACCCAAGTCAATATCGTAATTTATCAGAAAACTCAAGTCAATATCGTGTTTTGTAGTCAATCATGTGACGGTCTTTTGACCAATCGTGGTACAGGAAACATACTACCTATATAATAACATACTTTGTGTCAGTGTGATATACTCTGTGCTTGTGGGTTTCACCACATTTTATGGGTACAATGTGTGAAGCCCATTTCTGGTGCCTCCTTCTGTGATATTGCTGGAATATTGCTATAAGCAGCGTAAAACCATACTCGCTCACTCACCAAATTTTAAAACCTCTGTGACCTGCATCACTTAGTGGCTTCCCCAGACATTTGTTTGACATTTTGTGACACAGCTGGATTACTGTTCATACAACTTTAAACGAAACTCAAAAGATCTCTACATGTTTGTTTCCAAGTTTGTTGATGTTGCTTCTGCTGTACAACATCGGAAGACATTCTTGTTGCAAGGTTTTCCAGATGAATAACCTGAACCAGCATAAGGTGTTTGTTGTTGGAATGCCATGCCACAATTTAGGGGAGAGGTACAGGGGATCTTGTACACAAACATAGGTTGTGAACATCTTCTGGAAACTCATGTGGCACCTGTAGTGAATCTCTGTCAATTAAAAGTATACAGAACAATCACCAAGATTTCTAGATTCTAGATTTCTTGTTTAGTACAGTTGAACCTTGTGGTTGAATTCTCACTTGTCTCCAGTTCATTTGGGAGTCCCAGACTTCTTGTTAAGTACAGTTGAACCTTGTGGTTGAATTCTCACTTGTCTCCAGTTCATTTGGGAGTCCCAGACGTCTTGTTAAGTACAGTTGAACCTTGTGGTTGAATTCTCACTTGTATCCAGTTCATTGGTGATTCCCAGATATCTTTCTGAAATCATCGCACTGAACGAATAAGAAAAGACAACAAAAAACCCTGAACAAATACCATTGCACTATACATCTGAGTCTAGCACAAAGTGCCAATGCTTCAAATTAGATCACAGTATACACTTTAAAGACATGAGCAAAACAAATTTGGAGTACAAAATGTATAAAATACATACAGTCGAACCCTGGTAATAATATATAATAATAATAATGATAAATGTCGCTAACTCGGTTGAGACAAATTCTTAGTTGTGTCAAACTCATCTCTCGGTCTCGGCTGATTATTTATCACTGTTTTGGCCCTGATGTCTCCAACTAGAATATTGTGTCAAATTCCTGGTTGTGTCGAACTCATTTTAGGGTCCCCAAAAGCCCTAACAAGTACAAATGTACCCTTTTGTCTCAAACTGTCAAAGTTGGTTCTTGCAACTGAAAACTTCATTCGCGCAATCAAAAGTCATGCTCATAAACATGCTACCAAAAGATCAAAGGTGAGGATTAACAGATTCAGCAATGAAGTGGCATGTTTAACTACACAGCGCATGCTGTTGTCACGTGACAATTTTATAGGTGTGAAATGCCACACCGGCAAACGTAGTAAGGAGAGAATCACTGTCCTAGTAGGCTCTAACATGTCAGGTACAAACTTTCACTTCTTACAATAGGTAAATCTGCAAATCCAAGTTGTTTCAAAAATGTGTTCTTATATTTTTGTATGCATATATATATGTCATGACAAATAAAGTGATTGAATTAATTTACCAGTGCTATGTTAGAACATGGAAGGGGCATGGCAAGTTGCCCCAACAGATCAAGATAGAAGTTAAACTAAACCATGAAACATGTACATATACATTGTACATACATAGAGACCGTGGACTAAAGATCTGGTGTATGAGGAGACCGTGTAGTGAAGTCACTTCTACCATATAGTGTTGCCACTTTTGGCAATTACCACATTGATGTCAATTCTTTTGTTGACCAGCATTCCCACCAATACATTGGAACTATATATGTACATTATGGCTGCTATTCTTGTATGAATTATTTAGCGCTGTACAGTGTTTATGTAGGAATGCTGTTGTATTTTAAAGACTGACATGAATCAGTCTGTTCTGCAATATCCACTATATATGTTTACACTTCGAACAGTTGCATTTGTTACTTAGTGTTCTTTTAAGGTGTATGTATTCAACATCATGTTCAGTTTTGTTTTACTTATTTAGTTAACTATGGAATGTGGTTACCAACTTTGCTCATTAATTTGTGCAATATCGTTTTCTGTTTGTTTTAAATTTTCTTTGTAGTTGTATGTACTTGAACTGATTAATATATCTCAGAAGTTATTCCCTACAGTTGTGTCATTGTGCGATACTGTTTGACTTGTCACACTGGTTATTCCCTACAGTTGTGTCATTCTGTGATACTGTTTGACTTGTCACACTGGTTATTCCCTACAGTTGTGTCATTGTGCGATACTGTTTGACTTGTCACACTGGTTATTCCCTACAGTTGTGTCATTGTGCGATACTGTTTGACTTGTCACACTGGTTATTCCTTTCAGTTGTGTCCTTGTGAGATACTGTTTGACTTGTCACACTGGTTATTCCCTACAGTTGTGTCATTGTGCGATACTGTTTGACGTATCACACTGGTTATTCCCTACAGTTGTGTCATTGTGCGATACTGTTTGACGTATTTCACTGGTTATTCCCTACAGTTGTGTCATTGTGCGATACTGTTTGACTTGTCACATTGGTTATTCCCTACAGTTGTGTCATTGTGCGATACTGTTTGACTTGTCACACTGGTTATTCCCTACAGTTGTGTCATTGTGCGATACTGTTTGACTTGTCACACTGGTTATTCCCTACAGCTGTGTCATTGTGCGATACTGTTTGACAAATTTCACTGGTTATTCCCTACAGTTGTGTCCTTGTGAGATACTGTTTGACTTGTCACACTGGTTATTCCCTACAGTTGTGTGCTTGTGAGATACTGTTTGACTTGTCACACTGGTTATTCCCTACAGTTGTGTGCTTGTGCGATACTGTTTGACGTATCACACTGGTTATTCCCTACAGTTGTGTCATTGTGTGATACTGTTTAGCGTATCACACTGGTTATTCCCTACAGCTGTGTCATTGTGCGATACTGTTTGACTTGTCACACTGGTTATTCCCTACAGTTGTGTCATTGTGCGATACTGTTTGACTTGTCACACTAGTTATTCCGATTACAGTTTTGTGATCCATGAGGGTAAGTGGCAGCTTGTATGAAAGTCATTGATGCAATGTGGAAGTGAATTCAAACAGGGTTTATTACAGATCTGATAAGCACATACATGTGATGTTTGTTTATGATGTCTATGTATAGGATATGGCAGCTTGTTGGTAAACTGCTTATATGTTTGTAGGTGTTTCCTCCTCAACTGGGGACCTGTCATACTTTGTGGGTGTTTAACTGTCTGGATGGAAAACATTTATTGTGTGTTTGTTTATTTACTTCCAACATTTAAGTCACAAAATGTATTGGGATGAATTCTTGGGAGAAGCATGCTGTATACACTTATTATACTCATCAAATGATTATTGGAACTAGAACTGTAAATCATTTCCTTTCTTATCCTCAATTAAACTTTTCATATACTTCAGTAAAAGAAATTTGATAAACAGTGAGGCACACGCTTGTTTATGCTGGTTTGTCTTATTCAAGTGGAAAAGACTTAATAATGTTTCAGGATTTTATTGTTTATGCTTGCTTATAACAGAATACCATTTGCAAGGACAACTTGATGACAAGAACAATATCTGAAAGGTGTTGTCTTGGGAGCCATTCCAGGAACAAGCATACATTGACTGTATTGATCCGTTTGTTGTCTGTTGGAAGTACTCTAGAGAGGTCCGTGTCGTCAAGTGTTATGTTCTCATACATGTTCTTGTGACTGGCCTGGATTTATATATGTATACTCCAGCAGCTGTTACTGTTGAAATAAAAGTATTTAATTTAACTTGTCACTGTGTCACATGTGTCACTGTTATATTGGCTTCGTATGAGTATCATCATCACACAGAATATTAGCATCATCACACAGAATATTAGCATCATCACACAGAGAGGTTATTACCCGGAATGTCGACAACAACAAATAATCCGTCCAAATTACTTGTCGACAGTCCGGGGAAGGGAGATGATGTTCTACATGAGTGACTTCACGCCCAGTGTTCTCGAAATTAACAAACCAATTAAAAACAGAGTGATATATATAGAAGACAATATATTTATTTAGTAAATATAACAACATGTATGTATCATATTTAGATATATAACATATTTGTACATATATTTCATAAATCTCACACAATATATTTGTGTGTGTTTTATAGAAATAAGTGATTTATGTTGGTGTATAAGCAATAAATATATAAAAGATGAGTCCAGATATTTCTTCTTGACACATGGTCTGTAGTTCAAGTCAGTAAGTCTGTCGGCAAGAAGTTTTGGTCTTCAGGGATCGAATCCTAGCATCAATGATTCGGTAGCGACGTCTGCGGACGGGATCTCTCTGCTGTCCTTGGATCTGCTGAATTTTAAGTTCAGTAGCTGACTGTTCTTTTTGCAGCATTCGCACAACCTCAAACACATTCGGATGTGTCTTCATGGCATACTTGTTTGATTTTGTTGTGCCAACCTTCCAAATTATTGTTAGTTCTGTGTCCATCATTTTCAAAATGATTCCAAGTTGGCAGAGTCCATGGACGTTCTACCCAGGTGGTAGTAGCATAATCCAAATAAATGTTTTCAACAGCATTTCGATAATCCTTCTACTCCCAATATCCAAAATAATTTACAAGCTCTCTGTTTCTTTCGGGTATTTTTTTGCATGTTAAACTCCAAAATGGTAATCTTTCCACTCCCATAACGTAAAATAATAGTCTGTTTGCAACCTTAATTGTCTTACAAATTGTTAAAAAGACATTCTCTATAATTAACTTAATTCATTTACTCATGAATCGAACACAACAACCATAGCCACTTGCAAATCACTAAGCAAACATTCTCTTTCATTAATTAACACCGTCAGGGTATGTTGACCACGCAATGTCGACGCTCCGGGTTTTTTGTTCTGTTGACGGTTAGCAACATCCTATTTTTCATTTATCGACAGATCGGGCTGACACCCACAGAGACAGCATCATCACAACGAGACATTGCGTCATCACGACACCGATGCGTTGACCCGAGACATTAAGCGAGACATGTCGAGACATTAGCGTCATCCGGTTTTTAAGGCCATTCTGTTGACGGTTAGCAACATCCTAGACATTTTCATCATCGACGAGACATCGGGCGTGATCACGCACAGATCACAGCGACAGCCATCATCAGAACGAGACATTACATTGCGTCATCAACGAGACATAGCATCATCACACAGACAGCATCAGTGACATAGCATCATCACACAGACAGAATCATCACACAGACATAGCATCATCACACGGACATAGCATCACACAGAGACATTAGCATCAGAGACATAGCATCATCACACAGACAGAATCATCACACAGACATAGCATCATCACACGGACATAGCATCATCACACGGACATAGCATCATCACACAGAGACATAGCATCATCACACACAGACATAGCATCATCACACAGAGACATGGTATCATCACACACAGACATAGCATCATCACACGGACATAGCATCACACAGAGACATTAGCATCAGAGACATAGCATCATCACACAGAGACATAGCATCATCACACGGACATAGCATCATCACACGGACATAGCATCATCACACGGACATAGCATCATCACACAGAGACATAGCATCATCACACAGAGACATAGCATCATCACACGGACATAGCATCATCACACATAGCCATGGTATCATCACACAGACAGAGCATCATCACACATCATCAGACAGAGACATAGCATCATCACTGACAGACATTGCATCATCACACGGACATAGCATCACACAGAGACATTAGCATCAGAGACATAGCATCATCACACGGACATAGCATCATCACACAGAGACATAGCATCATCACACAGAGACATGGTATCATCACACAGACATAGCATCATCACACGGACATAGCATCACACAGAGACATTAGCATCAGAGACATAGCATCATCACACAGAGACAGCATCATCACACAGAGACATGGTATCATCACACAGACATAGCATCATCACACGGACATAGCATCATCACACAGAGACATGGTATCATCACACCGAGACCTAGCATCATCACACTGAGACATGGCATTATCACACAGAGACATGGTATCATCACACAGACACATTAGCATCATCACAATGAGACATGGTATCATCACACAGACATAGCATCATCACACGGACATAGCATCATCACACAGAGACATGGTATCATCACACAGAGACATGGTATCATCACACAGAGACATGGTATCATCACACCGAGACCTAGCATCATCACACTGAGACATGGCATTATCACACAGAGACATGGTATCATCACACAGAGACATGGCATCATCACACACATGGTATCATCATGGTATCATCACACAGAGACATGGCATCATCACTCAGAGACATGGTATTATCACACAGAGACATGGTATCATCACACAGAGACATTAGCATCATCACAATGAGATCATCAGCATCATCAGCACATCACAGGACATAGCATCATCACACAGAGACATGGTATCATCACACCGCATCATCATCACAGAGACATAGTATCATCACACAGAGACATGGTATCATCACACCGAGACATAGCATCATATCATAGCATCATCACACAGACATGGTATCATCACACAGAGACATAGGTATCATCACACAGAGACCTAGCATTGCGCTGTTGCGCAGTGAAAAAACTAAACTAACTAAAATTAAAGTATCGAAATATGCTTTTGGGAACTCTGACTCTGAATAAACTGATGAAATAATTCAAACAACACAAATGGGGAACTAAACGTGAATCTCTTATAAAAAAATGCTAATGAGGCAAGAAACTTAATGTGATACCTTAAATTCTATTATCTACACTATCTAGCTCTATAGCAGCGTAAGTCTACTATCTACAGTATCTAGCTCTATAGCAGCTAGCTATATGGAACATCTATTTCGATGCACTAATACATTCTTTATATCAGTCTATCTAAATCCTATTTTGACGAGCTGTCACCCAACTCAAGAAACAATCGAACTCAAGGGAAACCTGAACTCAACTGACGTCTAAACTCAATTACGTCTTAACCCAAGCATAACCTGTACACAACTGCCTAGTCTGTCTCACAGTCCCTGAACCACATTAATCTCCCTACTGCCAAGCCCTCTCTGCAGTGCTAAAGATCTAAATAAAGCAAGTCTAGATTTCCTCAGGTTCAGGTGATGACAGCATGGAGATAGGACAGGGCTTAACAGGAGGGCCAATAAATATGCCTTTCACTTATAGCGTTATCTGATGGTTGTATGATGTGACTTATAATTGGTAATGGCCCCAGCACGTGTAGCCCCAATGCAGATGTTCTTAGTCTCTGAATCTCTGGTCTCCCTAGGGCTCCTTTTCAATATAAATGGGCTTGTTTATTACTATCAAAATTATATATATTCAGAGACTAGGCCTTAGTCTAACAACTGCCCGATTCGACCGTTTCCCACGTGGTCAAGAGCAGTTGGTCTGACCGCACGTGAAAAGTCATGCTTCTCGGTGAGCCGCGAAGCATGGTGCGTTTACGCGATCTGTTCCAACTGTTTTGTCTCCAGACCATACCCCCCTCCATGATTGACCTCTGTCAATCATTGTTCATTTCAAGGCTGCCAGTTTCATTGCCAATCATTGACTAAAACCTACCTGAAAGCTAACCAAAGCTATTTGTTTCAATCGATGATGTCCATTCTAGTGGGCATACTTTGTTTGCTGGTCTTTTCAGTACTGTCTGTTTAGTCCTAATATCAACCACACCAACGTGGCCATCTTTTCCTGGATAGATCTTCAGTATTCTGCCAAGGTGCCAGTTTCCACGAGGCATATCGGGAGATATTACTAAAACAACATCTCCAACTTGAAGATCCCTATGAGGAGAGAACCACTTTCGTCTAGCGTTGAGACCTGGTAACCATTCCCTCATCCACCGACACCAAAAG